ATACAAACAAACTAAAAAAAAGGGAAGAACACTGATGTCAAACGAATATACATCCTCATTCATCCTGATTTTTTTCATGAAATCTACATCTTTTTTAGTCTCAAAACTACGTGTTGTGGTCTTTCTTTTATGGATTTTGTCTGGAGCTTCTCGTTTTAATGACCAGCAGTATTCAGCCATCTTGCTGATGTTCCACTTTCCCTGATACTTCCTCTCCATTTTCCTGTGTATTGATGAAACCTTTCTCCTTATTCTTTCGTGACAGCACCAATATTTTCAGGGAAATAGTCAATATGTGAGTGTAAGAAATGAACTTTCAAGGTTATATTACGACCAAATTGTTTGAATTTATCGAGTATGTTATTGACAATATTTTCGTAACTTGGGTCCTTGTTGTACATCAGGTCCATGAGCAATGGGTCTTATAGGAGATTGAGGGTTTGGATAAGCAATTTCCTTTGTATTTCGAATGTTGTATTTTTGCACGTTACATGAGCAAAAATTACAGTGATCTCCGTGGTTTTTTCTCTCGTGCTAGACCATTGGAATTTCAAAAGGCAAAGACTTTTTTTATTTTTAGTCCATTGTCTCAACTCTTCGACACAAGTGGTGCAAACTTTGTGTGAAGCCCATGATTTGTCTTGGTCCCCAAATTTTGTTCCAAAATATGGGTAATACACTTTTTTTTACAAATTCTGTAATGTTTTGCCTTTGTTTCTTTACAACAAATTTACCACAAATATAACAGAATATGTTTGGGTCATTTACATAAGCTCTTGTTACCATAGTGACAAATAAATAATATTGAAAATAGAAAAATAATGTTGAAGTGCACGCACAAATAAATACTGTCCAGAAATGACACGTGATATGGCCTGTTAACCATTTATATACTAGTTGTGTGTTTCTCGTAGGATCTAAAACAAATTGATAAGACTCTCACGTTGCAATTGGTCTAGAGAAATCTATAGCCAGTGGTTGTCAAGCATAAAAAAAACGTGACCCGATTTCAATGAAAATGATTTACTTAAGTAAAAGTACATATGATGTCTTGTGAAAAATGTGTACATGAAAAAGAAAAAGAAATATCATGTTCAACTTCAGTGTACAAGAATTAATGTAGACCATGTAAAAATTTCAAGACAATAAAACCGTTGCAGGCCTGTGTTATTGTTTGTTTCAGAGTAACAGTTAGGAAATAACTGTTTTAAGTTATACAACTGTCACTCTTTCCCCACCCTGTATATGCATATGTAATATAGACGAAATTTCAATTGAATTTTTAATTTGAAAATAAATATAACTAAGATATTGAAGTTAATAATTTTAAATGATGATTTATTAGGAGAAATTGCATAAATGTGAAAAAGTAAGGAACAGTATAATGAAGGAATTGTTTTGCTGTTTTTGAAGTGTTTGGTTATGGTTTTTTAATAGAAAAAGTTGATTAGGTAACTTGACTAAGAGGCTCATGAGGACCTTAAAATATTTGTTTTCTCAGCTAAGCCCTTTTTAACTTAATTTAATTTCCAGTATGCACAGAAGGTCTGTGTTTTTTTTATATTATTGAACCAACCTTTTACCCAAGGAAATTAATTTTGAGTTGTTCTGTTCTTTAAGTAGTAATATTTATGTCATTCAGAATAAGTTTTTTTATTCTCTCTCACAGGCTTTAGCCATTATGTCTCTACCACAAAATGTTCCAACAGCATTGAGTAACTTATTGGATCTGGTGGATACTATCTGGTTTTATGCTGGTGATAAAAGTGTAGATGTAAGTAATGACTTAACATATTTGAAATATTTCTGATGTACTTAATTGTCATGTGTACATTTAGTATCAACCATGTTTTACCGATTAAGAATGTTTTAGTTTTCCACTTTGATTACCCATTACTGAG